AAATATACATAACTTCAATACTAATAGCATATAACCAATGTTCTAAATATAGACTGAAATTCAAATTACGTATATTCAGTTTTCGAAAAATATACTTTAATTCACAGGTTCTAATTTAGACAGATCAATGCAAATCACATGGGGTATAACTAATGGTCTTTTATTAACGTGCACTATATTCAGTGTTATATTATATAGTTATCTACACTCGCATGTTCTAAAATGTTTTAAAGTATTCGCAAAGCCATTATTCTATGCATAACTGTTATACGATATTGTGTCATCAAAAAATGCTTCTCCAAGATAAACTTGATGGGCTACATATTATTGTTCTCTAGTCGTTAATTACTCGGAATGTATTATTAGTTAAACTAAATTGAAGTCTTGAACATATGGAGTAAGATAAGCCATGAACTGGAATCAGTAGTTGAGGCGTTCATGAGTTATGCGTGATATAATCTGACGTCACTGCGTATCATGAATAAGTAATAGGATTGGTATGCTGCGGAATCGACCAGTGGTGGTTGTTTCGCGTCGGACCGCGATTTAAGAAAAACGAATATAACATTACAACGCCTTGGTCAGTCTATATTCCATATTCACTTGGATGCAGTTGCAAATAATATTATGCAATATCAAATAATAACATGTGTAAATTTAAAAAGGAAAGGGACAGGATAACTCTAATGGAAGTAGGTGTTCATCAAATAAATCCCTTGACTTGAATTTTATCACCGGTTTCGCGTGCAATTCGGTAGACTTATTGTTGTCCTAAGCTGTTGAAAATTCGATAACAGTCCAATCTCCATAAATGCTCGGCATTTTTTTGGCAATTTCTGACTCATATATCTTACGAATACTGTAATTGTTGCATTCTGTATACATATTACTTCATACGCCAAATGCCAAAAATTAAATATGTCAGCTTTGAAATTGCACTTTTTGCAATGTGTTTTTTTTATTTTCAAATTAACAGTTAAACTGTTGTAGGTAGACATACAAATTACGCTCGTTTTCCCCGAGTTTGTCATATTCGTTTTCAGAATCGCTGTTATACCTACAAGACATAATAATAACATGACAAATACATATATGTGAATTTATTCAAGCGAAATTTAACCATCTACTAGTTTTGCTGATTAGTTCATCAATATGATAATTCAATTAAGTTACAAATATTAATATCCAGACACTTATACACCAACACCCATTGCCTAATTTCTATCTCGTTACCGCCAATTTACGAATGATATACATGTCGTACACTAAAATACAAGAGCTCTGAAAGCCGGTACACCGTCACAAGCTTTATTTTGCACTTACCATAGCATACTACTAGAAATTATCGATTACCGGATTAGATGACACGACAGAAATCCCAATTATGGCACGTCATAACGAACCATTATTGATTCCCGTGATATTTCAAAGATACATATATAGTATAGATCTGTGTACATTTAACCATGTTTCCAGTTTCTATATTCCTATCCGTATTATTCACCCGTTAGTAATAAACATCAGTCACGGGTACGTTAATCGCATGATGACGAATGCGCACATTACATTTCTCACATTGATTAAGATGTGAATTATATCGTTACTGACTACGCAAATTCAGAAATCTGTCAACTATTAAATACGCTATTGTAGGACGTCGTATCTGCATTAATGAGTGTATGTGTAGTTTAAATTATTACGATATGCAGATAATTTACTGTTAGGCGAGATACGCGCAAATTATTGAACGTCTTAAAGCTGTGTTAGTCAGTGGAATCATGAACTGAATGTGGTAATTGTAATTAATCCAAGATTGCCCGGGAAGTAATTTGCTATCGAATAAATGTCGGTGTTTGATTTAGATAAACTGTTGCTTGTGGTTTGGCTGGCAAGAACACATATACACATCGGTGCACGTAACCTTGCATTACAATCGTGAGCAATCGATTATAGACATGCAAGATTTATTGAATTTTACTTTCCACTATCAATCGTATGCCAATTAATGTGTCACATTGCAGGTCCCACTGGATACACGTACATGTTATTCTAGTACCAGTGTGATTAAAGATGCGGTATCCTCCTTTTACTGAACGTTCAACATACCGAGACATCGGTTCAATTCAATTTCTACTGTAGCAATATCTAGGCGCATTGAAGCCATCATTAGTTGTTTTAACTATTAACTAGTTTATTGTAACTGTAGTTGTGATCACGTATATCGCGAAATACATCTCCTTAAAACATAGAAATGATATTGGTTTGTGATATGCTCCATCAGTGCGTGTCTATAATTGAGTCTAAAATAGGACATACCTAAGGTAAGTATGCCTTAATATAATGTGCTTCTTCAAATTACACCACGAGAGAAACTGCAGATTAATCTAAATGTTGTTCGTTTGATACTTACCATCTAATGAAATACATGAAAATATTTATCCAATTAAATAAAACGTCATAAACGTTTGATATTGAAATGCATCACGTTCTTACAACAATTCATTCGTTGTGCATTGCAAAAATATAGATTGCTATAAGCAATACATTTCTAGATGTACAAAACAAATGAATTCCTGGAAACTAATTTGAAATAAATTTTATTTACGTGAACCAAAGACAAACATGTGTTATGTTTCCTATACAATTGCTTTTGAAATTTTAGTGAATGTAGAAAACACGGTATGAAATACTTTGTATTGTTCAATTAATAAAAGACGAGGTATAATATAGTAATCACAAAGAAAGAAGACATGTATACTCAATGTATCTGTCTATGGTTTATACATAAACGTACAACTATGTATAAGAGACCGAAATAACGAACCAGACATATAAATTATATTAAACTGACAACATGGTGTTATTACCATGACTCAGGGCTCCCTCTGCGTCATGCATGCGTGCTTTCAAAATTAAAATTTTGTTTTACCATACACTGGGAAAGTGCTTGAACGAATTAACTTGTTCATAGTTCTATAAATTCGATAGTAATATCAACGGATTTGCCAACAGCGTTGTACGAATAATACACAATATAATTAAAATTACAATTGTAACAGAGGCTTATTTCCAAGATTACGTTCCAAAAGAAACTTTTTTAATTTTGTAATGTCTCGAATCAGACATAGTATTGAAACCATTAGAATGCCGAAATCTAGATTGATAGTAACAGTGAACGGACGGTGGTTGCGCAGAAGATAGTTAGCAAATAGAATCAACACTGGGAAGGTACGTGAAAACACTCTATTGACTATGTCTTGCTAGTAGTCACCGAGGTAATATGCAAGGGAAAAGTCAAAACTATTATTTCCGATCGACACAGCTTTCCAAATGCAACTGCTAACGGAAGGTTAAAACGAAGGAATGGCGTGCCTAATTCGCGTAAGTAATAAAAGTGGCTTATGGTTCCCCGGGGAAAGGTTGAAACTTTGAATGCTTTGCATATAAGCATTTTAAGACATTTCGAACTGTATCGATTTTCCCTGATTACTTTGCATAATTATTCACTAAATCCAGGTCACTCAATATGTTAAATATATGAGGAAATATGGTTAATTTCATATATAAAGGTGAAATGTTTATTCGCTATAGTATACCTTCCACATCGCACGTACATATATAAACGTGTTTCCATCTTGACGCATTAGGTTACATTGGTATTGTCATGGTAACCACGAGAAATACAGTAACACAAGAAAGCTAAACCTAAAATAAAATGTTAACTATGTGGAATGTCATCGATTTGACCATTTATTACGTACATAAAAATAGGATATATGTATATTTACATTACACTACAAATGACACCATGGTTTATGCTACAGTGTGTACTGCTTTGGTACTATGTATTAAAACAAACGTAGTCGTTGATGAGCACACATGTTTTTTATGTCCGTGGATACGAGTAACACGGTGCTTCTATGATATGTTCACAATTCCGTGATTTCCCCCAATATTCTATTCTATATATATTGAACAATTGTTTCAAGGCAAACTTAGTTTAAGAACACAAAAGTAAATCAATAAGCTGAATTGAATAATGCATGTTGGTATTCACATAAAAACATCCATTTGTGTATCATTAGTTATCAAGCAGTTATATGCGCACAAACCGCTATGAAATCATTACCCATATGTGCATGTTAATATCAGAAACACGGGGATTAGGCACGCAGTAGTATTTTTTACATGCTATGTTGAAATGTACACAATGTCTGACAGCTCGATTCCGCCTAATAACTGCATTATCGTGGTGTATTTATGTTCATCACGTCGTATAGTGTCCCTCATTTGACAGTAATACGACGTGAAGTAAAACTCGGTACGAGGTAATCAAGCAGCAAATAACATCGATATCCACTATTGCACGTTATTACATTGCTTAGACGTTTGACATTTTTCAAGCAGGTACATTTTCCTGTATGTTATTCGTATCGCGTACGCTTGTATAGTATAGAGTATGCTAGAGACATAACAGTGAACTCGAAATTCTTCGACAATTTCAGAAAAGGGAATATATTTAGAGGTGAAAACCAGTGTGTCAAAGATTATTCATAGTAACTTAATATTTTATGGAAACTTTTCTTTGCAGTAACATATAAGAATATTTTTTTTAAATATTATACTTACCTGCTGCAAAAAGATGACTGTTGGACACATACCCTTTCCGAAAATCCAACGGCCTAACATAATAGTTGGAAAGGTGAACGGCATACAGAATATAGCCATGAATAGATCTGCCACTGCTAGGTTGACGAGGAAAGCGCTGAGTCCCGTTCTAGACGATTTCCCTAAGATAAGTACACATAACACTATGACGTTACCTAGTATTGACAACACCATGTTACAAGTAAACGTTAAACTAAGTATAATCTGATACTGCAACGGCAATTCCATGTCTAGGTATTCATATTCACTCGTGTTAGTGGTTGAATTGCTGCCCACAAAACCATCTTCGACGTCGTAGTCGTTATCTCGTAGTTCAGACATTTTGTTGTTAGAAACGCTCGCGCCGACACAAGATCTATTCGAATTCTTGTGAAACAGAACATAAGATCATAGCTTTTCGGGTGTTATTTGTAGAGTATAGGATAACACTGTCACATGAGTTCTGTTAATGTTGATGATGATATTCTGGTACTGTTGCACAAATTATTTTAAACAACTTGTGTAAATTCGGTAGATTCATCTGAATACTTAATTATCATAGCCGACACGCTTTCATCAGGCTGATAATGCTTTGTGATTGGTTGTTCATTCACGTGACTGTGCGTGGGAGGGTTTGCTACATAGCAATGGTTACTATCCTATTGCTCGGCAAAGCATTCCGTCACACATGGATAGATCGATGCATACGGTAATAAACACATGTTCAATAAGCGTAACGAATAGCAAAAATAGTTTGTAAAATGCAATTTGCGATCATATTAAAAACCATTGGGTGTTGCTTTTTAACTTATTTCTTGTTTGTTATTTACTGGATGCGATATTAATCGAATGTGGAAATAACTATTTTTTTACTTCCCAATAAGTTAAATGTGAAGTCCAATGAATCGTAAGTTTTGTCTAGAGGTCCTAACATCATCTGGTAAATGAATGTAGCATGAGGCAAATTAACACGTGATCTTTGTTGAGAAGACTTCTCAAATGTCGATTACCCCAAGCAATACAACATAAAAGTACAGTTTGTCACATCACTAGCATTTACACACAAGGTTATACAAGTTTGGTCAGCAAAAACACAAAAATTTCAACAAATATTCATATGAACTGAGATACACACCGCAGCGTGCGTCTATTTACCTTCATTAACTATGGTATTAAATAAGAGATACATGTAATACATTATGGTTTAATTTTGAATACATATAATATTAAAACCCTTCACGAAATTACGATTTGCCTGAATATATAATTTAAAACAACGTTATTATTTTGACATATATATATATAGAGTATCGATTGACGACTTTTTGGTCAGTATTGAAATTTATTTGATATGTATTTTTACGCCTTAGAAAGACTCTCTGATAACACTCTGCAAACCTTTTGGGATATGCTATCTTTGACTCCTGGAGGACGCTATGTGTTGTTCTTTTATATACATTTTGCTCTGAACTCAATGTAACTATAATGTTAGTAGCTATTTCATACCAATATAACCATGGCAACAATGATGTTGAATGATAACAACTAAATATTTCACGGCTAGGGCACTAGACGTTCGAGATAAATTCGTGTGCCACTGGGTTGGCAAAAGCATGTTGTAGTCTTTCCCAATGGACGTGAACGTGTTCAGACAAGTGTTGTGCTTCGTATGTGCTTCGTAATTACAATTACATATAAATTGACGAATCTCCGTTCTTCAGACTAATAAGTTATCATACATAAGTCTAATATGCCAAAGAAGTATAAGAAGGAGACTGTCTCGTTGTGTCCTATGTGTCCTGTTCTACAACTTAAACAAGTCACACATTTTCTACCTATCTGTCTATCGATCAATATCCGTGAATGGATCGATATTCTTTGTTGGTTTCTTTAACATAATTATAAATCAAGCTGCCATCGATCATTCTAGAGAAAAGCAATTTATATTTGTTTTGATTTTCCAGAAACATTTTTTATTATAATATAAATTATTATTATTGGCGATAAGTTATATTCAACAATGATGTTTTAAAAACCGTATACATATTTAACTTTCACTATCAGGTATCTCGAATCTCTCTTATATCTGTTCGCGGTATCTCCGCTGTGTACTTCTTTATAATATGTACTCAATACACATATGCATGAACGGTTGAATTTGTTGAGATATGTAGTTAGCGTGCATAGGCCAGCCTCTCGCTCATTTTTTAACTCTGAGCACGAAATGTAGCGGATTTCCTGTTTTTTAAACATGGCCAACGTCTTACCAGTATAATACATGAGAAGATTTTCAAGTTTGGATTCAATGCTCAATTAGCTTTAAATACTTTATATGTAGACACCAATTATTTGGACTTAATCTATAATATATAATCTAGAGATTTGGGGTAGATTAAAAGGTTTTATACATATAGACAATAATAAAAATGAGATCTTATAAGTATGGCTGATACTTCATTTCACAAGAGCTATGTACGCGATGCTTGTGTTTTGTGGCTGTATTATATTTTGGTTCTAATTAAAGGTAGACTCCTAATCATAAATAAAAATACCCAGAATGTATTCATTTTCTAATAAATTGTGCTTCCGGGCAATATAAGAATATTGAGTTAAAAAAAAGGCGGGTCACCAGCTTAATTTTTGAAAAAATGATGGTTAAATTTTAGTGGATAGTGGCCATTTTGACAGTAATATAACGCTTTTACCAATGGTCCCTATGGCACAGATAATATACTATATCTCAAATTGTAGTATTAGATATTTTTCTAAATTATTTCAAAAATCTGGGTTTTAAAAAGTGCCAAAAATGCAATTTTTTCTCAACACTGTGCTCTATGGAATTATTCTAAAAATGGCGATTTTTGCCATGAGACAATAACTTCATGATTTTACATAATAAACCACTGTCGTGCGATTTATGACCATTTCTTATAGAACATTTCAGCGTCCGTCGGTTTGTTGAACACCTTACAATATTTATGACAATACGTCCTTACAATGTGATACTAGTATTTTTACAGGATGTGTATTTCGGTCTAGCAATGCCAATTAACACAATTTACAAGTAAATACAATATAACGACGTATTTATTTCTGCCATTGTCGTGTGAGTTATTTTGGGTGTTTGTTTTTTGGTAATTTTCGTTTTAACGTTTTACCAAAATAATACAATGTTCAATCGATATATCATGCTTAACACAATTGTTAAGGTACTTGTTTTCTGAAGTCTATCCAGAATAGCAGATTAAAAAAACATAATGTTAGGTACAAATTGTATTTATAATATCTTTGTCTTTGTATTCATTGTGCGTTCATGTTGGAGAGAAAATATACGTTTTCCTTGATATTAACTGAATAGCCATCCATAATGATATGGTTTTAAATAGTATTGTGATGTTGCATTCCATTAGTGATTAATATAATGCGACGAAAAGACAATATAACGCTTAAGGCGCGTAAGAACCATTTGGAATTCATTTAAATCCGACACCGGTATACAGAAACGTGTTGCACTGTCCGCATTCCCATACACATGCACCAGTTTTAATCACGTAGCAATCTCGAGACTAGAAATGCTGCTTTATGGTATGCACAGCAATATGGCGCTAGCAATATACGAGTGCAATCTATGTCATATACAACAACACACGTATATAATATAATATAATACATTTCTTTGATCTTTCCCGCTTTTTAGCATACACAATGAATGCGAACGAAAAGCTCAACATTATTATTGACCCACAAACTCAGGCAGCCACAAATGAAGGAAGCAGGACGTCTGGAGACCTGTGTGACGTTCATATGTCGTTATGCTTTGTAACCTAGGTTACACGAGATCGAATTCTCCATTATCAATACCTGGGGAATCTTTCTCGAGGATAACAGCTCGTTCACTCCAATAAATATACACATCATGACATGTTTAGTATAATGTTTGTCTATGAGCAGAGCGGTGGTAGAAGCCAGCATCCAACCAACGCAAACACTAATATTTAAGTTCTCAGAAAAACATATAATATGATATATTTCTGACATAACCCGCTCCCACTGAAAATGCATATTAATGTTTCTTCATATTTTTTAAGAATAACCCAATTATAGACGTACTGGAATGTTATTGAAGTATCGTAATCCAGGGAGGTTACTTTCCTATTATGGATATTAATGGTGAGCAATTACCAAGTTAGTTGGATGCGTTCATTCTCAAACTACCATTTAGATACAATTTGATACGTGAAAGTAACAATCGTTATTGTCATTATATTTACTGCGTTCACACGAATACACTTGCCACGTGCTCGGTGTCAGGTAACTACTTGCACGTTCCTAAAACCTCGTCTGAACGTTCTGACACGCGTCGAAAATGAACCAGCTGCCAAGTTATGTTGGTCTGAACGCTCGGCTTGGCTTGGCTCAAAATAATTGCATATAAACTTGAAAAAAAAATCCGTGTTTTCTGTCGAATTGTACAAGACACAATCTACTGTAACGGCACAGATGAGTTATGTTATGATCTTTGTTATTTGTTCACAATACAATAGTGGGTAACCAAAACCCTGGGAAAGAAGACACTTATGTGAGAGTAGATTAGAATTACAAACAAGGAAATAGGTACCATATATGGGTTAAAATCGATCAAAAGCAAATGCCGCGGCGTAAACGTACTCTTGTGCATGATATCGCATTTGTCTCACTTGCGATATTTTTCGAGATGACTTCGCATTAATCGAAGCATGCCAATCATATTACGTGAACTGGGATTGGGTACACTACTAAAATATCCAGATTTGAAAAAATCAAACGGCAAATAGTACCTGGCAACATACAATTGTCTTTACTACCAAACAAAATAGTAGTATTCTGTTTTATCTTTTTTAAATGATCTCAACTGAGCAAAGTGAATGCATTCTTACATTCTTCCACTGAGCTTGGGATATTACATGGTCTATTATATGGATGACTTCGTTAAAACTATTGTAAACTACCAATGACAGCATCACAGCGCAGATCAGGTCAGGTTAAAGATCAGATAAATTGCCGATTATTAAAGAATTTGTAATATGAAACCTGTATTACCTCATTTTTTCATGTAATATAAGCGTTTTAATTAGCTAATTAGCATAACAATTACCAGTTTCAGTATGTTCTTTGTGTATTTTTGCAGCGATTTTCCAAAGACTAGCAATTAGCTAACTGATTTCAATTCAACTTGATACCCTCTCAAGCGACGGTGACTAAGTATAAAAAGTTTAAGATGACTTAAACGTTCATAGAAGGTTTTTTTTTTCAAATTTGAAATCTGTTTAGTTTTCAACGTTCCACGCAGGCATACCATACCC